GACCAGGGGTCCCCAAACTACGGCCCGCCTCCACATTTGGTCCGGCCCCCTGAACAATGCCAGAGAGCATTCAGATTTTTTTTTTTTCATATATTGTATTTTCCGGTTTATATGTGGATTTTTCTTCAACCACCAGGGGGCTCTTTAGCAGGAAGTGTGTACTGTAAACTGTGGGTGTTTTGTTTTGCATGGCGCATTGCTGCCATCTGTTGGACTTTTAGGGAACTGCTTGACTTTTATGTTATTTAATCAGTACGGTTGTTTGCTAGCGGTAGAGCAGATGAACACACGTGCCTGTAAGTAGCAGCTTATACTTCAAAACGAGCCTTTATGTTAACATATGAGAAATTAATATATTATAGTTAAATTCCCTCAATGGAATATATACTAGTCAGTCCCAGTGACCGTTTGACTCATGGTTTTTGCCCATGTGCTTTCTGGGTAAAAATCAATCGAGAAATGTGCACCCCCGTCAACACCCACCAGAGAAGGGAAAAGTTATGTGGCCCTCACAGGAAAAAGGGACATGAAAGGGAAAAAATAGAAAATACATTTTCTCATGAGCATGAGATAGTGCCTTGTTCACACAGTTTTGCATGTGGTGTGCACCAAGATTATTATAATTAATTTCATTAACTGGAATAAATAAAAACGGTAGTTAATGGGGAAAAATATAACTAACTGGAAGTATGTTGCATGTTTAATTAAATAGCTAAATTCTACTAAAATTAGAGAAATAATACCCTATATTTTTGTGTTTAAGTCATTAGAATCATAAAATCTAATAAATAAACTCATTAATATTTTTTTTCACACTAGCAGTTTCCATCAGCCTTCGGCCTCCCAGGTCCACAAAATGACCACAGCAAACGTTGGGAGAAAACTCAGGTCAGTTTTCGTTTGTTCACCAATAACTGAATATATTTTTAAAAAGGTAAATTATGTTGAGTATTTAAGGTAAGCATGATCGCAATAAAATACTTTGAACTTTTTGAATTCTCCACCTAAAAATTAACCATTAAGAAAAAACTAAAACATCTATAACAATAAAAACTATACTGAAACTAAGCAATGCTTAACTAGTAATAACTAATATAACCAGCAAACTCACTCCTAAAAACTTACTAAAACTAACTGAATTAGCCATTAAAAAGTCACAACCAAACAAAATTAAACTACATTTTTTTAAAAATCCAAAACTATTATAAACTTTTTGTGCATGATAAAGTTTAATTTTTTATATTTTGACATTTCTTCTGGATTTTTTTTTATCAACAATTTGTCGTTTGATTAATAACAGAATGTACAAGTTTAAAGCAACCCATCTGGAGATTTTATTCATTTACTGCCATCTAGTGGTAGAGTGAAGAATAACACTGCATCTTATTTGCACCTTTTAGTCTGGATTCCTGCAGAACAAAGAAAAACTCAAAGGCTCAAAACAAATTAAGACTAATTTGTTTTCTAGTCAATATTTAAACCTAAACTCATCATAATGCTTCATCATCCAGCCGTTGCACCATACAGCTGTATCCGCCTTTCAGATTTCTTTCAGAAATAATACATGTGAGGAATATATGTTTATTTATAGTGCCGAATTAATATGTTTTAGAAATAACTTTAGAAAAAGCCACTGAATAAAACATCTCTACCAAACCTCCTCATTTCTGGGTATTTCAGAAAGTGAGACATCCTTTCAAATATTTTGCAGAGATCAATTTTCAGGTCAATCAGCAGGAGGTTGGAGGAGGCGGGAACTGGTCAAAATGAGATTCCACCAGATTGTTCTGCCACTTCTTGAAATCAAACGTCAAGATGAATGACAACCTATGATCCTTCATTCATAAAATTAAGTAGGTTTTTAATTACTGTCCAACTAAAATCCAATAAGGACGTAAACGTTTAACTCTTGACTGCTGCACACACACATCAAGCTCTCCTCTTTTCGACGTCTAGCTCTGACATTTTCTGATAATCAAATTGTAAGTCCCGACAAAAGAAATAAATCTGTGGATTGAAATATTGCCAGATTTTTAAAATGACACACTTCCTTCCTTATTGTCCTTTTTCCTGGTCCAAGTGTTGTTAGTCTTCATCAGTCATTCTTCCAGTTGTTTTAGACATTTTGATTAGCAACTTTATGCTAGTAGTTATTTTCTTGTGAGTCCTCACTTTGAAAACTAACACAGACGTCTAACTTTAGACGTTATGCATCTTTCTAATTTTTATGAATGGCTTGGAGAAATTACTCTTTTTATCACCAGTCTTTAGAGTTTTTAGAAACTCCATTGGACTAAAAGTAAAGAAAATATTATTTTGCTTACATTTATTTTTTAAGGAAGGTTTTTGGTGCAAAAACTTTATTATTATTTGTTTAAGGAAGAACAACTTTCTCCACTGAGCAAATGCACTCGAATTAAAGGAAGGCTTGTCCTGAAGTTTCTTTAAGTCTGAGATTATGCTTCTGCAATTAAAAAGTAGCTTCTACTTTGTACAAATTTGCTGATTTCTGTAGCTCAGAGTAAAGCCAATGGACATTTTATTGCTTTAGATCATGGGAGTCAAACTCACTTTTGTCAAGATCATGAATGTTCAGTGTCGGTTGTGTCACAATGTATTGATAAAACCCATAAACAGCTGTGTCCATGTCTATTTCTTAAAATTAAATAATACTGAACATGTTTTGAAACTGATCAGTCCCTCCAGAATTTTGTGATTTTTTTTTTCAATCAAAATCACTTATTTGTGGAGCTAATTTAAAAATATTAGCTAGATTTTTTTTTAACATTTACGCTTATGTATGGCGGAAAATATGACTTTTGCTTGCTAACGGACTTGACATCAAATAAAGCTGAGGAAGCAGCGTAGACTAAGAAATACTGCCACCTGCAGGTGGGAGTTAGCATCACATTAACACAAAGTTTTTGACCAATATGTTGGAACATTTTCAGTAAACTCATCATTAAGCATTATCACAAAACAGTTCAGGGATCCGATGATTTTCCATGGTAGTAAAATCTCAGAAAAACTAGAGAGACTAATGCAGTTTGGCATTAAACATTTGACACAGGAACTTTAGATTATTTGCTTCAAGGTTTTTCATTCAGTGCTGATATTATAGATGCAATTAAACTTTCTCCCTCAGATGTGAGAATTGAAAACACCAGAGTGATTTCAATCTAAAGGAATCGTCTTTATTGGACTGAAACATCCTCATTCATCTGTTTCTAAGAAATGCTGCTGACTTGGTTCGCTGCCGAACATCAGGTGAAATTTTCTGGACCCCTTCTCTGCTCCGACTCCTCTGGGAGCACGGACTTTCAAAAAAAAAAAAAAAAAACATGCTTATATAACGCTGGGTATCCAATGGTAACACACACCTCAGGCTCTAAAAATACCTTCTGGGTGATTCATTCATAGCAGTAGTGGAAGCAAAGAGCAACTGGGAGCCTTTAATTACCAATTTAGATATGATTGACAGGTTTATAGGAAACTCAATAAAGGCAGGCTTGAGTTAAGGGAATCTAAGAGGATCACTCCACAGAGCAAAGCCGCAGCCCCTAAATAAAACCTACTCCTGCTGGATGAATTGATTCATAGACTGTAAACACACTCCAGTGGATTCTGGGATGTTTTGGCTTGACAACGACGGCGGCTCTGACAGCTGCAGCTCAAACTCAGACACGCATTTCTGAATCTCAAAAGTACCCTGGCAGGAAAACACGCCTGCAGAACCCATGTCAGTGGAGCCTTTGGAGCTTTTAGGCTGAGTAGACGGACAACAATGAAAGCATTTTAACAAAATTATTCTCAAGAAAACTGCAGCGCTGGTTTGTGCCATGTATGCTTTAGATGCATTTGCAAATTAGCATTTTTCAGCGCAGGAAATTGTTAAAGGCTTTTAGGCCTTAATATAATACACAATTATGCTGCTTACTGATATGCAGAAGGCATAATTGAAAAAGTTATGTTCAAACTATAATTAGGAAATGACATCTGAATGTAGAGAGTTGAAGTCTGCAACAAAACCCTGAGTGAAAGCTGCTCAGAGGTTTTCTATACTTCACATCCCAGTTTTTCTGCAGAGCACCAATTGAAAAACTGAGCAGACTGGTTGCTGGTTTAAGGTGTTATTATGGATTAAATAAATTCAATTACATTTAATATGAAAAATATGTTTCTGTGAGTCTGATGTTAACATATGAGACACCATTGTTTTTAACCTGCAAACTGTTTTCACAAAACTCAACATACTCAGAAATTTCCAAGTTTTTTTCCAGAAAATTTCTGAGATTAATCTCAATATTTCGGAGTCTTTTTAAAGTAAATTTTTTACTTTTCAGACTCACAAATTTCCTTGTTTTTTCTAGGAGATTTGTGTGGAAAAATCTAAAAATTTCAGAGTTTTTTGTAGCAGATTTTTGACTTTTCAAACTTAGACCCTTTTTAGCTTTTTCTAGAATATTTCTGAGATTCATTTCAAATTGTTTTTTCTAGTGAATTTCTGACTTTTCAAACTCAAAAACTTCCTAGTTTTTTCTAGAAGATTTCTGAGAATAACCTCAAAATTTCTGAGTTTTTTTCTTTTTTAGCAGATTTCTTAGTTTTCAAGCTTAGACATTTTCCAGCTTTTTTTTTTTCTAGAAAATTTCTGAGATAAAATTTTATTTTTGTTTTGCCGGAAATTTACTCCTCTTTGTTTTCTTTCTCTCCACAATTGCCCTAATACTCCATCATCTCACCCAAGCTACTCCCTGTTACCATAGAAACCTTGACTACTTTTGCACTCACCCTCCTTATAGCAAACAGGATTCGTCCATAAGAGTAAACCATGAGCATCAGTGGCAGCAGCAAGCAGAAGATGAAGAGACACAGCACATAGGACACGCTGGTGGGTGAGCGCAGGTGCCACTGGACAGAGCAAGTGGTTCCGGGACCTTCGGGACCGTAGCTGCTCCAACCCAGGAAGGGTGGCAGCGTCCAGAGGAGCGAGTAGACCCAGGTGCCTCCGATGAAGAGCCAGGCCTTCCTGAAGTCTGAGACGTCCACCTTAGAGGAACGCAGCACGGTGTTGTAGCGCTCGTAGGAAAGGACCGACAGGGACACCAGGGACACAATGCCTTATGGAGAGAGGAACAGGGAAATATAATCATCAGTCATCCACATATTTGTTATTTTAGTGCACAAATCACATATAATATTATAGGGCTGTGTAATAATATCGATTTTGCGATATATGCGATATATATATATCGATATATATATCGATATTTTCTTTCCTAGAAGAAAATCGATATTCATCCGCAAATATCGTAACATCCAACTGTCATCTTGCTCACTCATTGCTTGCTTTGCTGGGAGAGTGATTAGGACTTCAGGTTTAGAGTGATTCCTTGAGATGTAAAGTGTCAAGATTAAAAAGGTATCAAACTATTCAGAGCAGGGTACTTGGTGCACTTTATTTACTTTACAAATGCACATCAGCTACGGTTTGTACTGTTTCAATTAAAAGAAACATGTTTTCTCACCACTTCTTTGATTCATTTTGTCCAGCTGCCGACTTTAAGTCTGTCTCCATGTCCAACCAGAGCCAGGTATTGTGTAGTTGGTGCAGGTATTGTGTAGTTGGTGCTTTTAATCAGTTTTCAGTTAAATTAATTCAATCCAACTCTATAACAGTCACAAAATGTCACCAAAATCACTTTGTCCCTCTGAAATCTTTCAGAAAATCGCAAAAGTGTATTGAATTGTATCGTTTGCTGAATATCGCAATATATATCGTATTGTGAGCAGAATATTGTGCATCGTATCGTGAGATTATTGTATCACTACAGCCATATAATATTATAACTCATCAGTTTGGTGTACGTATACCTTAAACTTTTATAAAAATATACATATTTTTATGCATATTTTTCGAAACTGTCACTAAATAATGACAGTATGTTATCAGATAATCTCCTCCTTTTGCTCTATGATACGCTGCTGTTAGCGTAGCCTGTCGTGAATGCTAAGGCTAGTTAGCATGGCCACCCATGATGACGGATAAACGATTTTTCTGTAGTAGTAAAATGTTTTTCCACCATTAGTAGATCTAAAAGCACATTTGTGAGATTGATTGACAGCACTAAGCCCCTCCTCCTGGCTCTGATTGGTTGTTTTTGTTTTTGTTCGATCTTTTCACAGGTTATCTGTTTCATATTGTCATAATGTGGTGACACTTTTACAAATATGAAAATAAAAATATTTCTATAAAAGTTACATACTGCACCTTTAATGGAAAGCTTTAAATTTTCCAACAAGTTCACCTCATTGTTAGCTGGTGAATGTAAAAGTTCATTCAGACAAATAGAAAAAGGAAAATGTTAAGGTGCCAGGACAACGCATCATTTCTCTAAAAAAAAAATGGCCGCCTGAATTAACTTGGCAAAGATCTGAATAAACCGCAAGAAAAACCTCAATGTTTTTTTTTAGTGAGAGGAAAATGAATCCAAACAGGTGAATAAATCTACAGCAGACTGACCATTCGACTGTGCTGCAATGTGATAACGCATGACTAAAATGCTGGAACTGGACTTTAAAAGAGCCATAAAAATGAAAGGTGGTTCAACATGAATCTCAAGTTACATTCACTTTTTCACTTATCATTTTTACAACTTGGCTTCATCTTTATTTAATGAACCATTCTGATTTTTTGCAATTAAAATTAATTTTAATTTTTTAATTATAACTATATGCTGACCTGAATGTTCTCCTTTTTTTTCATGGGAGTTTTGTGGTTCGATTGGATAAATGGATGAAGGTCAGTTCATGAAATAGTTTTTTAATGTCTCAATCAATATAAAATTTCCCGGCTTGATCATAATTTGAAAGTGTTTAATGGGTTTATTACCAGAAACTCAATTAGCCGCTTAATTTTTCACTTTTTAAAGATGATTTATAGGAAACTAATGTCAGCTTGATGGAATGTAAGTTTTAATAATGTCATCATAATCATTTAAAGGTGAGATCACCTTTAAATGATGAACCCCGACTCCAGTTTGAGAACACTGTTCCAGTTGGCTGGAAGAAAATGTGCGGGAACTGGGAGCAGAGACACAGGAGGTTTGGGAGGCCCTACTCTGTCAAATCTAGATGAATAATAGAAAGTTGGCCACTTTCAAAACAAAAAAACCAAAACAAAACAAACAGCTTCCAGTCCAGGGCGGGCGCCCATGACTAACAATGTGTTGTCCATTGTGACAAACATCATCAGGATTAAGACAATTGTCTTACAAACAGCTGCAGAATGAAAGTGTTATAACATATGTTTCATAATTTCATAATTATGAAAACTGTCGAGACAGATAATCTGTGAAAACAATTACGCTCCTCCAACTCCTCCCAGCGCAGAAATGCACATCCTGCTCAAAAACAGCCAATCAGAGCCAGCAGGAGAGTCTTAGCGCTGTCGATCATGCTCGTGTACACGCTGTTCAATGTGTTGATGGGTGAGACACAAATAATCATGACAGGAAAACCGTCATTCATGAACATGATAACTAGCCTTAGCATTCATGGCAGGTGAAGTACTATTTACAAAAAAAAATGCATGGGGAAGTGTGTTGTGCTTTTTATCGAAAGAATTTTAGTGGTGAAAAGAAAATATTTTGATGGTTAATATTTATACCCTCAAAATGTTGTTTTTAAAGTGTAAAATTGGTGATAATTCTTTAGTTTGGAACTTTTTATTTAGCAAACAAGTCCAGCAATATCAAACAACAATAACAACATAACTCACCAAAAAGATGGAATTAAATTATAACATTTAATATCCTCAAAATGTTGTTTCTAAAGTATAAAATTGGTGATATTTTTTTTAGTTAGGAACTTCTTAATAATAGTTAAACATTTAGCAAACAAACCTCGCAATGTCAAACAACAACAACAACAACGATAACAGTGTATAACTCACCAAAAAGGGAATTGGCGAACCCGTACCACTTACAGCCGAACTCTCCGATGAGCCACCTACCGCGCAGACTCGCGGCGAAGCTGAACGGCGTCCCGAAGACGCACACCAGAACGTCGCTCAGGCTGATGTTGAGCAGGATGAGGTTGATCGGCGTCCACAGGCAGCGGAACTTGGCGAAGACCAGCAGCGTCAGAGAGTTGTTGAGGATCCCGGCCACCAGAATGAAGCCGAGGCACACCGCCACCGCCGTGTGGCCGCTCCGGCTCAGCCCATCGCGGCTCTGGGGCGCCGTGGAGTCGCGCAGGGTCGCGTCGCTGCCTAGACTGGATCTGTCTGTGGTACTTAAATTAGAGCCGGGCAAGTAGAGGACCATAGCAGGTGGAGGGGAGGTAAACAGACAGAAGGAAAGTCTTGCACAGCGGCTCCAGACGCTGCAGGCTGGTGTAAGAGAGTTGAATATGACCAGAGCACTTCTTTATACCTGCACTCCTGAAATGCAAAAACACCCCCCCACCCCTTTTATTCTGCTGGGCACAAACACTAGTATTTTCCTTCTTTCTTTGAACCCTTTCATTTACTAGTTCTGGTCATTTTGATCACGACAGCTTTCATGAATAAATCCCCCCAAATTGGTGCCTTTCCAACCGGAAATGTTGCCTTTCAACGTGATGTGCTTATGTGAGTAAAAATTGCAAGTTCCATTGGTTTATCTTTTGCTTTTTCATGGCAGATGTGGGTCAGGTTCAGTGAATGTCCAAAATAAACTTTCCATTTCAAAGTTAAAGTGGAGCCATTTACTCCTGCTGCGCCACATCACAAATACAAAGTTTGTTGCCTGATTTTTGCTAAGTTGTGCATTTCTCTTTTAGCTTTCTGTGCCAGACTGTGTTTAGCTGAATGAAGCAGATTCAATTTACTGCAAAGAATTCAGTTCTTTACACAACTCATCATGTTGTGTGTGTTTTTTAGCTTCTTCAAGTCTTTTCTCAGTGATGGAAAACTAGAAATGAGACTTGCTGAAGTGCAGTCTGTATGTTTGGACAAACAAATGTGTTTGAGTTGCCAATGAATGGGCTTGATGTGAAAAGAAGAGGAAAGAGAGAAAACTGATGACATTTAAAAACCAATCTTGCATGTTTTTTTGTTCTCTTTTAAAAATTAGGGTCAAATTCCTCTGGAGCCTTGTTACGGCGCCACTTTAGCTTCATTAGTGGACCATACAACCTCCAGGTCTTCCTCTTGAGGAGTTCAGGTGACTCCTGCGACCTTTGGGTCAGTTTCTGGAGCTCCGTCAGTCAGTCCTGCTACCTCCTCCTTACTCTCATTTTCTGATTGGCTGCTGGTCAAATTCATCAGGTTGTTTGGCTCCTCAAGCTTTCGAACCGGACACTGCTGCAGAAAAACCATAAACACTGCGAATAAAATAAAACTCGACGTGATTTATATGGGACATTGCATTATTTCTTACAATCAAAAGAGGTAATTGTGATGAAAATTTGTATCATCTGATAATATATTATGCCATAGAACTCATTATCATGTAAAATCAGAAGGTCAAAGGCAGCATTCATGCTTAGTGAATGTAATAATTAATGATTAATGAATTAAAACAGTTTAAAAGTTGATGTTTCCTTACTTATTTAGTAGTGTTTCCCAGAGGTTAATTCTCTAATGGATGGCTCTATACATCAAACCTGACATTAGGTTGAGTTTCAAAACATCTAAATTCGGTCAATCTGGACTGAGAGAAAATCTACCCGCTAAATTTGTATTAATCATTTTGTACTGGATGTTTTCCTCTCTGAGCCCAACAGCAGCCTGAGTATTCCTAATGGATGTGAATAGGAAGGAAGATCATGTACCTCATGTCCACCTCCTGCAGAGACGAGGATTGGCTACTGTTTCTTCTTTACACCCATACAGTCACTTCTGCGCCGGNTCNACCAAATTCCTCATGAAGGTTTGAGTTTCTCATTACCATATAACCCATGCATGGTATTATGAAACAGTAAATAATCATAATAGAGTGCAATCTTGCCAAATTGTGCCTCTCCTTCTGGTGTATTTAACAAAGTTTAGCTGAAAATGTAAAACTAATACATCATTAAGTGCATGAAAAACATTCCAGTAAAATAAGTTGAAGCTTCTAGTTTTAACATGATGAAAACGTGAAAATGTTTCATAGACGTGAATGTTTTTTTTGCGAGGCAACACAGTTATTAGATGTTTCTGATCAACTGCAGGTGGTTTAGAAAGTTACAAACACATTGTTACAATTTTCTGGCGTGAAATATTGAGATATAATCAAGTCGCCCCTGAATCTGGGAGGATTCATAAAGAAATTTTAGACATTTTAAAGTCCATCATCAGAGAAAACCAAAGATTAAAGATGGTGGCCAGTCTGTCAAAGACTGAAGGCTGTAGCAAGGTCTACAAATGAAAGTAAGTTCAAAACAAGATGATTAAAAATACTTTTGAAAAGTTAATTACAGTTAATCTTGATTGCATTTTTCTGCCTTATTAAAGCTGTGCATAAACAAATTTATAAACGTCTATTTTACCAAGGATTACAAATGAAAGTAAACTTAAAACAAGATAATTAAAAATACATCTGAAAAGTCTTCATCTTGGTTGCATTTTTCACCTTATTAAAGTTGTGCATAAACAGATGTGTAGGCGTCTTTGCCAAAGTGTCTACAGAGAGCAGTTTAGTTAAAGGACTGGACACGAAAAAGAGGGAAAAGTAATCTTGGACTGTGTAAATTGAAATTTCTCTGCTAAATACCAAGGAAATACCAGTAAAGATTACTATTGTACAGGCAGCGAATGAGAGTTTTCAGCTGGATTGTTTCTAAAGTGTCCTAAAGGGCATCAGTGTGAGACTTTCCAGAAAACCCAGTCGATTACCTGCTTGTTAATTATAGAGCTTAAATGGAAATGATAAATCAAAACTTTTCTTCCATTAACAAATGACAAATTACCATATGAAAGGTGAAAAAGCTCTGAAACTGCAGGTGTTACGTTTACTTGGTGCTTGTGGCTTTCATTCATGTCACATAATCAGTTCTCAGGATAAAAGCTTTAAAAGGTTAAAGGTAAAGTATTTAAACTTACTTTTCTTCTTCTTTTACTGTCTGCACGTGTTTTTAAATTCTCCACAACAAAATAAAAATTAGAATATTAAAATTAAATAAAAACAAATTAAAAATAAAAGTATCTATGCATCACAGGAATTACTTTATTGAATTAAATGTCCTGAGTGCGAATTTCGTACCACAAACAAGCAAAGCTGGCATTACAATAAAAAAAATCCTTGAATCCTTGAAAATATTTACTAATTTTGATATTGTCTAAAAATATAATGATACATTATCATCAAAATGCTCAGCATAAAACCAAATATCACTCCACTATTTTATTTGCCTTAAAAAGTCAGAATTCAGATCTCAGAAATTATAGTATTATATAATTTCAAGTTGGAAAACCAGTAATATTTGCTAATTATAGTCTACAATGACCATTTTTAAATTTAATTTTTAATTCAGTCGCTCTATTTATCAACCTGTGTTTAATTATTAATCAAACCTTTAAAAAGACCTGAGGTTTAATCTGTTTGACACATAAACCCAAAACTATATAAATTTATCATTACTCCATGTTTATTGTGCTCATAAGAAATCCAGCTAGCAACAAATACATGGATAAACAAAAGAGAACAAACATCCAGTTGCACTGGCAGGTAAAAGAGCCAAAGCGATCTTATTGTTGAATGGATTAACAATGAAACCTTGTTTATTCGGATCCTGTCGTGTCTGTTCTGCTCCTGGGTTTCACGTTTTCTCTTCCATATTTTTTCTCATGCAGTTTCCAATTAGCAGCCTGACAGATAATTTTGCTTCTGTGTGTCAATTGGAAGCAACACTTTTTGCTTCAGGAGTCTGGTTTCTGTTTTAAAAAAAAAAAACTAGGATGATTGGATGAAATTAGTCTTGGAATATGAACCAGAACCAAATCCAAACGATCGTAAATACGTCATAGATGTTTCACATAACTCTCTTCTTTTTGTTTATGTTGCGTTTACGTAACTCTCTTTTTACTGCCACTTCCCCAAGTGGGCACTCTTGACCTAAATCACTTTTTTATTGACCCAGTAGAGCAGCTTTAGTAGCTGTGAAATCTTTAGTAGTCGACATCCTGTTGCTTGGAAGTTCAAATCACTTGGCAATGTAATCTGAGAGAAATGATGTAAACACTGTCGTTGCATTACTGAGAACTCTCTGGACTATAAGGTGACATTAGATTTAGATTTGCTGGAAGATAAAAGTCTGAGATGGTCAGCAGGACAATGAAATGAGGCCTGGGACAGGAAATAAGTAGCTACTTTCAAACATAAATAGCTTTTTTCTGCACGTTAAAACAAGATCAAGGTTGACATGAAATAAAATGGTTTAATTTGGACAAATGTAGTCAACAATGTGACTTATTTAAGGATGGCTGCTTTAGTGTGAACAGGACATTGAAATAAACATTTGGCTTAATAAAACACCAGAGTCAGATCAATGTAACGTACTTCTGTCTCAGGATACAGAAACGTGCCGCTAAGCATTCTGGGAAATACTCACCCACTCCTGTCTTTTACTTCTTTCAGTTTTCCTAAGTGCGAACCTAAAACCTCTAGTTTATTCAACTCTTGAAGGTTTGACAAAATTAATAAAAAGTAAAATATAAGTTTATCTTTCACAAACTCACATTTAGGTTCAAAACCTAAAACTGGCTAAATTTATTTGACTTAAAGAGTAGAAGATTGTAGACTCAGCTAAATGCGGCTCAAATGCTTTACAGTGTAAGTGATTTCCTAAAACAATTCAATGATTTAATATTTCTTCGTTCTAATTGAAGTGTATTCCAACAATCAGAAGCCTGATAAAAATAAAAAAAAACGACATAATGTCCTCACAAAATAAGTTGAAAGATCCTCTGGTGTTTCTTTTGGTTGTATCATCGGTAAAGTTACATCACATGAATGTGACTCTTTAGCCGTCCGGTTCCAGCCGTAACCCTTCACTGCCAGCACACAGTTTAAAGTACAAAGCTTTGCTGAACGTCTCGGGCTGGTGATGAGACCCAGGATCTCAGACAACCAGAGCGCTCCTTACCCCCACAGCTGGCTCGGGGCCCGTAAGACTCTGGGATCGATGCCCACAGAGCGGCCATTTTGCAGTCCATCTGTGGTTTGCACAGCAGCAGATGGATAGCAGCTAATAATAGCACAGCACCACCATTAATCCAGCCTCATCTTGTGGGGAAAGCTGCTCCTCCGTCTGCGACTATGAATAGCGCTTCGACAGTGAAATGATGGCATCTCTAAGCATGAGGGGAAAATAGCCGGAGAGCTGAGAATAAAGCTGGATGACGTCACATGTTGAATGTAAACACTAACCTCTTCATTTTGGATGCACCTGATTTACTTTATGACTATTTTAGATTTGATCATCGTCCTTTTGTTGCAGAGAAATTCATAGTATTTGTTTTTATCTGGGTAAAGTCATTAAAAGTCAGACATGGTTGGAGTAACTGGTTACATTTATTCTTTCTGTGTCGATGTACAGATAGAGTTTGACTCACTGAAATGTCACTTTACTGGGATTTTAGGTGGCAGACCAACACAAAGTAAAGCATAATTATGATATAGGAGGAAGCTAATCAAAATTCAAAAATGTATGAGATGCATTTTTATGGATTTCACTCCACTGCTGCTAAATAAAGGAGCAGCTCCAGATGCTCAGGAGGGAAAATCTGTGGATGAACGCGTTGTTGTGCACTTCACATATTTGCTTTCTTGATGGCAGCAGGAAGAAGGCCGCTGTAAACAGAGAGCCTTGAGAAAGTCCTGCTCCACTTTGCCACAAGCCATGTGTCATAAACGACAGATTTGAGAAAGAAGACGTGTCGGTCACTGAGGCAACGTTTGAACTTTGTGACCCACATGCATCGTGGTGTGCGCTGCACATAATCCAATATTCAGAATCACACATGATTATCGTTGTGTATAATTGTTTCAGCAGATGAATGCAGCAACTACAAGCTTCTGGAAATACTTTCCCTGATATCTTGGAGGATTTATTTGAGCTTATCCAGTAAGAAAAAGAAACCAGTGTGGTCATAAAATATATCAACAGGTGTCAGTTAACCTATCAGAAGCTTCCAAAGCTCTGACATCATCATCTGGGCTTTCCATCACTGTTCAGTGCAGTAGAAATCACCCTGTATGTAAACTTATGAGCCTGAAGTTATTGACAAATAAATCTCTGACATTTTCTCTCATTACTGTCACTTTTATCAAAAAAATAATAATTTTGTTAATTCTAACTCACTGAAAACAAGAGAAGTGTCGACAGGGAGAAAAAAGTGTGTAAATAAATTAAAACGTGAGTAAGAAATTTTAATTTGTTTCCTAATCTTAGCTGCTGAACCTCCAAAATAAAAAAGATTTATAAAACATCTAAAACGTGGAAGGAAATGTTGATCTAATTAAACATAAAACCATCAAAAGTAATTTAGACAACAATATTACACTTTTTTTTCATAGGTTTTTAATTCATGACAGTCTTTGCATATTAGAAACAACAAAAACATGGCATTTGCATGTAAAATACCCAACTGATAATCCTTTTAGAAATTATACATTTTGCAACAAATTTTTAGTAAAAAAAAAAACCTTAATGTCCTACATATTTAATAGTGGTGAAGCTGACAGAGCTCAGCCTACAGACTCTCACAAACAGTTAAATGGAAGAATACGAGTTTTACCAACAATATGTCTGAGTGTGTTAATAGATTAACTATCTTATTTACTACAGCTGATCATAAACTGATGATCAATATACAGGAAAAACTGAACAAAAAGGTAACAAGTTAACTAGTTTCTTCATATAATAAAACCAGATATTTACACACGATGTATAAAAACACATTTTCTTCACCATCTGACATTAAATCTGTCCTAACTCGTCCTCTTTTAGGTCGTTTAGGTTAATTATTTTCTTCAATTCAGATATTTATGTGCAATTAGATTTTAATGATTGTCTCAATAATTTAGGAAAACCCCAGTTGACAATGATCAAGTAATTACATAAACGTATCAGAGGTTTGTGTGTTTTGCTGTAAAATTTGCACATAGTCAAACGGCATGAAGATACAGACTGAAAGGGAAAATCAGTGTCTGCCAAGACAAGCCAATCAGAGAGTTAGAAGAAGTCATTAATCCTAAAGCAACATATAATCTCCAGACTACAGATTACAGAGGAAGTCAAACTTTAATTTTTGGATATCTGTCCTCTGAAGCTAAAACAGTTTAAATCTGAAAACTAGTTCATTTCAATATATAAAGTAGATGACATCATGAGGAAGCAATATTCTTTGTCAACCAGGAAATTAAAGCAAAAACGAGTCTTTCAATTGGACAATTACTCAAAGCCTCTGACCCAATTAGTGACAAATTAGCTTAAGGTGTGTATGTTAACTTCTGACTGAAGAAAGTAGAACAATCTGAAGTTAACTTTCTCAGTTCTGTACATTTAGGAAACAGATCATTTTATACACCTAGAGGATATTCTGAAAAGTTCCTTCTGATTTGCTGTCAGACAGAAAAAAAAGGCGTTATGAATTTTTACAGTGCATGAAAATATCTGGTTTAACTGTAGATTTCCTCAAGTAGTCAACACAGAAATAATTTATTTACACACATCTATAGCTATAGTTAGCTAAACACCAGAACTTTTTAGAAACAGACAAAGTTCAGTTATCTTTTCATCCAAATAAAGAGAAATAAAAAAGTACATTTAAAAAAATATCCCTGCAAAGAAACATTTTCTAACCTGGTATCCAACACTTCAGAGCATCTAGACACTGATTATGAGGCATCATGTACATTTCTTCATAAAGACTGTGGGTTCAAATCCACCAACAGGGGTCAGAAACACACTGCTTAACTAAAAGGCATCAATCTTCTATTATTTATTGGTAAGCAGTGGTGGCTGCCTCTGATTATTTTCAACTATTCTTTTTACAAAACCTAAAAGTACAAGGTATTATTTTTCCTAGATTGTTACTGACCAAGCAAAGCTTCCCCTCCCTGTTTGAGTATCTTCCAACAAACCCAACCAGGTGAACTAAAGGTAGATCAGGTTGTAGCTACATTAGTTTCTACACATCTAAGAGGCTCACAGTTTTCAGACTCCACACTGGCCTGTTGTAAAAGCCACAAAGAAAGTGCACTTCATCCAAGCTTCACCTCAAAACGTGTGAAAACAGACGCACAGCTCTGATTCTTAAAAAAGGAATGTCAAAAGTTGAGGAACTGGTTTGTCACCGAGAGCTTCCTGCAGTAGAGGCTGTCCCAGTGCGCGCTCAGGTGCTGAGGTCATCTCAGCAAACAATAGAGAGAGAACATCGTCAGGAAATCAAAATGCTGCTCTGCTGAAACGAACAGAACGACGCTGCGCTGGCTAAAGCTGTCCTCTGTTCCTCTGCACTCCGCGTTTCTCCTCAGTACCAGTACAAGTCCTTTTTATCCCCATGTCGCCCTGAAAACAAGAGGAAAAGATCATCAAGCAGAGTTAAACGGCTCTTAAAGGTGCAGCTACTCTTGCAAAAGTAGCACCACTTCGACATGCTTTTACTCTAGTAAAAACAAAAAGTATCCAAAAATTACCATGTGTAAAAGTAAAAAAGTATTTGGTAAAAAAAAGTCTAGGATGATCATCTCATCTGATTTAATATTCAGAAATGGACAGCATTTCTGTTTAAGAGTACAGCTCTTAAAGGTGCAGGCACCCAGAAACTGTACTCAAGCAAAAGTACTTCAACATATTTTTTCTCAAGTAAAGCATTCAAAAAGTTACTATGGGTAAAAGTACAAGAGTATTTGGTTAAAAAAATAATAATGGCTACTGAAGAAACTGAGTATCATCTGATTTAATATTGAGAAATAATATAAACACACAGCAAAAGATATAAACATCTAAAACTTAACACAAATATGCAGCATAAGTAGAAAATAGCATATTCAGGCCAGAAAAACACTTCCAACCACTTCCTTTAAAAATACAAGTCATATTAAATTAAAACTTACCAGGTTCGAAGCCTATCGGAGGGTCCACAGACTCTCTGTAGCCCGCAGGCACCGCCCAGCCTGGAAGTGGGTCCGGCTTGGAGCTGGAGGCGATGCCAGCTCCCATCTCGCCCCGGTCGCCGTGCAGCAGGTTGAGCAGGGACGTGGAGTACTGCTGTCCGGTGAGACTCAGCGCGTCTGAGGACAGGGTGCACATGAGGTTGGGCAGCGCCGGACCTTCTCTTGACCTGAACGTGTTCCAGGATCCTGGCATCTCCTCCGCCGGGTTCAGGGCCAGGATGTGTCCCGTTAACGGGGGCACCTGGGACTCGGAGTAAGGGCCGGACATGTTCCCATGACAGTTGTTTGTGCTCTCTGAGGGAAAATAATGATACTCTGAGAATGAGTCATGTTTGATTTTATGTGTTTCCCAGCCACATAAGATCATCGAATAACTACGTTACCCTCATATGTGTAACTTACACTCTAAAAAGTGTAGTCAGGCTGTAGTTCATTTTATGGGCTTATTCACATTAACCTCACTTAATTCGTTTGGTTTAGTGATGACAACTTGCTGGTTGGTGTTGAATTAGCTTAAAAGTTACACATTTTAACCTAAAGGAACTTTTTACTTTGACTTTACTTGAAACAATTTATTTCAACGCCCCGTTTGAATCCTACATTTGACGTCATGATGCATGAAGCTTCACCAGGGACAGATCCGGTACCGACCAGGCGCTGTGGTGGCGCAGGAGCAGAACTCATAAGGAAACGTTAGTCCTCAACGTCGCAGGTTCCAGTCCCAGCCTGATCACCTTTACCACATGTCATCCCTCTCTGTCTTGTCTAACTAGTCTCAAATAAAGACCAAAAAAATGTCTTTATTTATTTTAAGTAAACTAAATGATTTGACTTAAATTTATCAAGTTTATTCAACTTAATAAATTAAGTTGGATAAACTTAATTTAATTACTTGTTACTAATTGAAGCAACTATTTCCTTTTCTCAGGGTAAAAGAAATTTTACTTTGCAATTTCAAATTCTGTCTCTTTAAGAAACTCCTTATCTTTCTGAAGCTCCGCCTTCAGGAAGTCATCACAACATGGCTCCTCTATGAACAAACTTTTTACCAGCGTTGCACTGAGATGTACCTCCTATGATGAGCTCAGCTGATGCGCAGCTCCACCCGGTGTTTGCTAATTGCTGCAGGCTAGTCTGAAGGAGCTGAGTGTTGGGGTGGAGCTCGGTAATGTGGAAGCTCAGAAACGTGGAGGAGCTACGTCCCCACAAGCGTTTTAAAAACCTAAATGGTTGCCAAGGGAGATTAAAGGATTTCTTAAATGTGCATGAAAGAATCAAAGCAACACCCCAGATGAGAGAAAGTCACTTTTATAAAGTACTGTGTCTTTAAGTAATGCAGTGACTCTTTTACATGCTCACCTTGTTTTACAGTTTTGCGTATTTTCTTTGACCTTGGAACCAACTCGCTGGCCTTGCTGGCTTTGCTGAGAGCTCTTGAGAAGTGTTCGTCCACCATGCTGTTAATGTCTCCATGGAAGTACAGCAGGGTGAAGCCGGAAGCGTTCTCCTCCACCTTCACCGGTATCAGACTGTCTGCTCGCTCCTCCATGGGTCACCTGCTACTGGAGATTCAAAAGTGGACAATCAGAAAGAGCTTTTTGCATTTAATGAAACAAGAGCTCAAACTATTTTTAACTATGAAAAATCACAATAAAACAATAATGTGTTTATGTCATATCTGCTTTAACCTGGTTTCTCTGGAATGCAAACCTGAAAAACGTTTTGCACTAAAACATGGAAAACAATTTGAACTATTGCACTTTAACACACACGCACACACACACACACACACACACACACACACACACACACACACACACACATATACCTCTATGCTGATGTTGCACCTGAATTTCCTGACTATAATGGATATCTCTGTCTCTATTCTATCTTTATGTTTTGTGTTTAGTCATGTTGAAGAATCCTGTTAGCAAAAATTATTTTTATTGAGAAATTATTTTCTGGATGGAAATGAAACAAGCATCAATCTGAGGGGTTTTAGCTTAACTGTAGATTTACGTACATCCAGTCAAATCTGTAGCTGACTGCAGAGATCGAGTTTCTTTTGAAGGCTTGTGGGTCATGATGTTACTCTTTTATATTCCTGAGACTTAAAAGATTTTTACATTTTCCAGAGAAGGTTTGTATTTCAGGATAAATTTCAACTAAATCTGAGCTCACCACGAATTAAATCAAGTTGTGCAAGAACATATAATTTTGTTTTGTTTGTTAGAAATCCAGCTAATCTGCTTCTTCTCCCAACATGCTGCAAACTTGCTTTACATTTAAACTGAACTCTTGTGTATCAATCACCCCCATCATCAGTTAGCTTTAAGAAACGTACTTGCCTTACCCGTCTTGATGACTGACCAACGTTGAACAGGGAGCACAAGCTTGCATTGACTGGTTGACCCCCTGCCCCCCAAAAAAGAAAACAAAAAACAAAACAACAGCAGAACCAACAAGAAAACTGCAAAATCAGAGCATAGATTCAATGAGCTGCTGTCGTTTTCAGCGTCTACTCCGCAAAGAGAGCGTTTTACCCACGGAGCCTGCAGACTTACTGGATGATTTAGCTGGGGAGGGTTGCAGCTATGATCAGAATGCTATCCAGCAGGTTCCTCAGGAGCCCGAACCGCAACTCAATCAAAACATTCCTGGTTCAAACTGGCAGAAAGGTTTACGCAGTTTAACAGCCGCTCTGCTTAGATTTCAGCTGAATTACAACGTCAGATTCACAGAAACTGCTTCAAGCAGATTCTGAAGTTTCATTCATTCTTTTTTTTTTTTTTTTTTTTTTGTCTCTTTGATTGAAGATCCAAAGAGGATTGAATGTTCTGGTGTGGACCAGAAGTTCTTTTCCAGCCGAGTTGAAAACAGAACATCGCAACAAACTTCACAGCCCTTCAACTTTCTCACCACAAAGTCTCGTGTAATTTATTGGGATTTTATGGGGCTGACCATCACAAAGCAAAGCTGTAAAGTGAAAAGATTTTAGAAACAAGAATAAGTCAGATAACCTACCTCAAACTTGATCAGATCGTATTGACAGCATCCCTAATTAACAAGTTTCATATCATGAATGCTTAGCTGGTTTGAAGTTTGAACTGCAGTCACTCCAAAACACAGATTTGCTCTAAGCTAAACCGCTCCAGCTGCATGTTTAAGTTCTTTATACAGGCAGTAAATAAGGCAACATCAATCATACATAATTTAAAATGCCAAAAAATACAGAAGCTGAGAAACCTACAAAAACTGTAAAACCTACTTTAGTCGACTGATCTAACTAAATTATTTTAACTGGGATTTATTAGCTGCATTAGGTTTTATTGTTTTATTTAGGGATACATGAGTAGAGGACGAAAACTTACAAACAAGATATTTAACAATACAAACAAGATATTTAACATTTTTATTTTGAAATTATAAAAATTTCACAATTTCACAAATACTTCTGTAATGCAGTTCATGTCTGTGATGGCTCAAGTTTGTTCCCAATCTGTCTAAAGAGGTAAAAACTAATCTGAAACTGAAAAAAGAACAATAAGGAAAAGTACATCTCTGTTCAGAATGAGAAAAAATAAAATCTGAACACTGAAGAAAAACATCCAATTTAAGGTTTAGTTCCTAAAAATTAAAACAAAACAAATCCTTCTCAGTCAGCATAAGTATTTCAAAGTTGTACCTTTGCTGGAAATGTTATTTATTTATTTTTAAAAGATGAAAAAGCAGAAGGTGATCATGATTGCATTTTTATTTCAGCAATAAATTACAGAATATGTCTTACAAAAATAATCTTGCTTCACTTAAATTTTGGTATTCACATTAAATTACCCAAATTTATCTTGCTATCAAAAATTAAAAATACAGATAAAAAGATCTCTGATTCTCACAAGCTTATTAGTTCTCAAAAATACAATCAATTTAAAATAAATAGAGTTTATTTCAAAATTAAAATCAAGCATAGTTTACAGAATTGTCTTTAGTGGAAACACACAGAGATAAAGAACAAATGAGCAGCAGTTTCTGTAAAATACATGACAACGCTGATAGATGTAACAATATATAAAAACGTTTCTCTGTCTTGAAATCCTTCAAAGTGCCCTGCAGATTTCATACCTCTAGCATTGCCAACCTAACCTAAAAGATTTTCAGTTTCTATGAAATGAATTCATTAAATTTAGTTCATTTCAGTGTATATTTCTCACATGTGACAATACTTTAAGGTGAAATGTTCATAATAGTAAAAAAAATCCTGAGTAGCACTTCAGAAATGTGCTTTTTGTGATTTCCCCCTGCTCATTACAATTACTTGTACCCAAATTTATGACTGATTGATGAATCCTGTCTTGCTGATTCAGAAGCTCACTACTGCCACCTAGCGGTGTGAATGTTTTGGAGATTACGTGGAGGAGTCAGTGACCTGGTGGAGCAGGTTTTGTCAAAGTGAGCTGCGTCAGATTTGACAAGATTGCCCTTTTTGTTACGAATGTCCACTATTACAGAGCGGCTCCAGTCTGAATGCAGGAACAACAGAGAATCGTTATTCACACTGAAAACACACGACTGTTGAGGGAATCAAATGCAGAACAGAGGAAAATACCTGAGGTTTCATTGACCCTGAAACGTCCACAGCACAAATGAGCTTTCCACTGTTTCCTCACATTTTCCTTCATCAAACAGTGGAACACAAAAACAAAAAATCCTGGACGAAAAAACCGTCAAAAAACCTGATTATTACGCAGAATGAAAAAAACTAATTGTGCAGTAAAGTCCAACAAACTTATATTTACCTTGAAAAGAGTTGCAGATCGCAAATAGATACATCATGACCATTCGTACCGGTTCGAATGAAAAGAAGCCCAACGACCAGGTGAGGCCCAGCAGGACGGTGAGGCTGGCGACCGCTCTGAGGTCCTGCAGCGCGGTGCGGCTCTTGGCTAGCGGTTTGTTGGCCCTCATTTTTTTGATCTGGATCAGAACCACGATGAACACGCCCATGTTGCCCAAGAAGATGAGGAGAATAAATCCCACCACAGTGACGTAGTAGAAAATGTTATTCTGAATCCAACAGCTGTGGGAGTGGAGATGGAGAGAGAGAAAGTCATTTGGAATTTGCTGTAGTTGAAGCAACAGCTACATAATGCAGTGTTTGTGTTAGCTCCTTGCTGCTGGACTTACAATTGTTCAGTGGACTCGAGCGCCACTCCTACTCGATCAGGTACAGAGCTTCCATAAGCGTCTTTATCTATGGCGAGCACAAGGCCGACTATCACCAAAGGAATACCTGTAGAAGAACAAAAGATTCAAATTATGATGCTCTTGCAAGCAGAGTCTGAGACAAAAACAAAGAAGTAAGAATATTTTAAAGGGAGGTTATGTATGTTCCAGGTGTGTTACCTTCAGTTCTCTAACACAAATTAGAAGAAATTTGACTTTGCAATTTGATGCCTTGAAATTGGCCTCTGTCTCTTTAATGGTGCGTTCACACCGCGCATCCGAAGCCTCAGTTACAATTGTGTGCAAACTGAAGTCAGACTCTTGGTATTTTGCTCTAGATGCACAACGAACGCGTCAAAATCGCTCTTGGCGGGCATTAAGAGGACACGTGTCTTTCAAACTCTTCCTTCTTCTGCATATTTTGTCTAAATAAATACAATATTTATGTAACGCTTATTTAACGTGATTCAATGATTTTGCTGGACAGATTTGGATAGCCCAAATACGGGGAAATACTTTCAAACAGTAAAAGTTATAACTTACTAGACATTCCAGCTTCCTCACTGATCCTCTTCCAAGCAAAGTCCTTTCTATTCCTGTTTCTGTAGCCATAACTTGATTGGTCGTAGATTATAGTACGAGAGCAAAGAGCGACAATTAGTTTATCCTCCATAGTTTTTGTTTCTGAGATCATGTCGGAAAATGCAAAACGACGAGCAGCGAAAGCTCAGATTTTCCAAATCCAGCATCGGACACGTTGGACGCCCTTGACGTGAGTCAAACACTCAAAACACTTCAAATCGCACAACGCTTGACGCACAAAATGCGGCACGACGCACCCTCGACGTGCCTCCACATAGACTTTGAATGTAAACCAGAGTCTCCTGACACTCAAAATGCGTTTGGTGTGAACGCACCATAAGAATCATCTACTCTTTTGGACAATCCTGCTTCAGCCCATCATCACAACACTGCCACGTTTCAATCTGTCCTTTAGGAGCGTTGCACTAAGAAGTAGTTCATATGATGATCTCCACAGAAATGCTGCTGCCGCTAGTCTAGAGGGGCGCTCTGTGAGGCGGAAGCTTGATTTAGGTTTTAGGCACCCCTGAATCGCTGCCACTGCAGTTTAAAAGATTTCTCAAACATTCATGAAAGAATCAAAGCAACACTTCTGGTATATTTCTAATGAGGGAATAAGATTATAATACAATTTCAGTCTGAAAAAGTCACTTTTGCGTAATATTCCTCCCTTTAAAATTAGTTTTTAATCCTCTTGCACAAACCTGCACATATGTAAATTGCAGAATTTCTTACTACAATTTAAATTTCTGATTGATTTGGGCATTTTACAAAATAGAACTGAAACATAACTAAATTCGAAAGAGAATAAACTAGAACTTCCTGACATGGTTGTTCAGCAAATTCCACTTTGCAAACTGTTATTGAAAGTTTAAATTAAGTTTTTTCTTACCCCATCCAACAGCGCAGAATTTCAGTAAATAGGCGGGCACATAGGTGTTGAAAACCTTCACCAGTGCAAAGTACATGTGAAAGGCCTCCAAGCCCATCCAGGTGCAGGAAGCCAAGAGGAAGTAGTGGAGGAAAGCAGCTGTTGTGATGCACAATGGGTGGTTGGAGAAGGATGCGAGCCACGAGTTGATAAGAAAGAGCAAAGTCAAACCCAGCAGTGCAGTGGACAAGTTGATGAGTATTTTAGATGGATAGTCCTGACGCAGCTTCCTGCAGGAGAAAAAAAAATGTTTTCTATAAAATTCAGACATGGGTGAATTTGTTAGGCAAGGTGAACACTATGCAAAGTTTCCTTTTGTTTTTATCGTAATAAAATCACACCGAAAGATAAAAAAAAACAACCTATAATTTAAGTAATAAAGTGAGGAAAACCATGAAGAAATAAAAGCTTTTAACAAAGCTGTCAGTAGTATCATTATTAACAAGAACAAGCTTTTATTTATACCAGTTTAATCTGATGAGAGTATCTGAGAAGAAAAGATAAATCCTTTCATATTTAGCTTTTTTAAAGCATCTTGTCACTTTAAATCCAAATAAACTGCTGCTGGCCTCAAAGGTAAAAGTGAAAATTTATGTCACAATGTGTGTTGGTGGTTACTTACTCAAAAATAAGGTAGGTGAGCAAAGTGATTCCTAGAAAGATGGAGGAAATGCCACACCCCAGGTAAGAGATCACTGTGAGAATCCGGGCGTCTTTGGGGTCCAGTGGGTCTCGGCTTACATCCTGAAAGAAACGAACAGAACCAAAAATTTGATTTCACTCACCACACATTAAATCACACTTTAGCAAAATCATTTGTATTTCTAAA